TGACCCTAGTTATGGGACAGAGAAAGCTCTGGTTGCTCTGGTTGATGATCTCTACCTGCAGACCAATAAAGGGAATGATTCCCTTTACAGTTCTGCTTGATCTTTTAGTTGCCTTTGATAAGGTCAACCACAGCAACTGGAGACTGAAGTAGTGATTAAAGGATGTTACTAAAATGCTTTAGGCCTTTTAAAAACCTTTGATCAGAAATTTGCAGAGATGATGAAGCCACAACATGGAACAATTTGTGGGGTTCCACAGGCTTCAGCATTATTACCCTACTTTTCAATGAATACGTAAGACCTTTGAGATAGTCTACATCTTTGAAGTTGGGAGTCATCAAAACGTTGATTCAAATAGATTTATTTAAATACAACTCTAGAAGCTGCCATCTACCACAGGTACCAGGCAGTGGGCTAGGAGAAAGTGGCTGAGGGACAATGGAATGAAACGGGACCCAAGTAAGGTGGAGACCACTCCTGTTCTGAGATCATTGTGGAACACCCCCTCAGAGGGTGCTAGGGAGACCACCATAAATCTGGCCTTCAGAAACAGATGTAAGACAAAGTTGTTTAGGAGGACTCAGAGGAATGATGTATAGCAGCAGTTCTGTTTTAGTCATGGCTCTTATTTGATTGTTTTAAACTTTTTTGATTAGCCATTTTAGCTGAATTTTTCTTGGGACAAAAGGAGGATACAAATAGCTGAAATAAGCAAATGAAATCCTGAGTACTCTTCCTGACAGCCTAAGCCCCAAGCTAGGACACACACTACAACATACCAGATTCGACTAGTTATGATGAGAGAATATAAACAAACATATACCCAGAAAACCAGTTAAGAAAACATAGATTTTTAGAGAGTCAAACCCAAGTTACTTATTTGCAGCATCTGCCTCTAAGGTAACAAAGCTATTTTACTACATTTGTAATTGTGGTAGTAATTGCTGTAAAAAAGGGATTATACAATGTTTAATGTGCAAGTGTTCAAATCTGTGCTTTTTCCTCCAATGACTAGTATACTGAATATGACAGTGATCCCTCCTTAGTCATGCTTTTATTACTGCTGGCTCCTTTCTTCCAATGGAGGCGATGGCTAATTCTCCTCTTTTCCTATCCTTCCCCCTCCTGCTATTTGCCAAGCAGCAGGCTGCTTTTCTTTCTCACTACTCTCAGCTGTCTTCAGAGACAGGCAAGGGCGTAGACTTTCCAATTTCCCGGGGGGGGCTGGGGCTGGGCCAGAGGCATTGCTAAGTCATTAAAAGAACTGGGACCCAATGACATCATAGGGAGGAGCTAGTGACATCACAAGCCATGGTCACTATCTATGGAGGTGGACCCATGTGGGATTTAGGGATGGGCTCCCCAGAAATTTAGGGGGGCCTGGGAACCGCCCTAGCAATGTCCCTGGGCTGGGCTAACCCCAGGAACAGTTGCCTTCTTAGCACACTGCTTAGAAACTCCACCTTAAAATGCAGAC